AAAAACACACCTGGACCGGCTAGAAATGCCAAAGTAGCAATAACCCTAGCAGACAGGGCAAATGACATGGTAAAGTTCATTGTAAGTTACTATAGCAAAAAAAAAAAAAAAAAAAGAAGATTCTAGCTTCTAATCCTAATTCTAAATAACAGGTGAAACTCCTATTTTAAAAAGTTACATGTGGTTTTCAAGAGAAGTGATATCCTTACAGAATTCTTACTAAATTTTTTTCTGCAAAAGAGAAGCTCCAATTTTTGTCACCATGATAGCTCTTTTCTCACAAGTGTCCAGTTAACACTACTGTTATCATACATTGTGTTTTTAAAAAACATATATGCAGCTCAAGGTCTGATAGTACCAGAGATGTATGTTCGGCTCCAAGAGTTTCTTTCTGCCAGATGTCCATCTTCTAGCATGAAGGTCAGTTACTCCTAACAGAAAAGCCACGGGGTCCTACTGAAACTGTAAAACAGGAAGCAAACTCCATGCACTGACTTAAGCTAGATCATAGAAACGTGTGAAATTTTCATACTACAGAGGACAGAAAATAAACACAATTACATTTTATCTGTACGTAACTATATGAACTTACTTGAGTGAGGAGTTACTCACTGTTAGCAAATGTACAAAACAACCAACCTGAAATCAAGTTTTTTTCCTTGAAACAATTTTCAGTTTGGCCCAAACCTACATTCTGATTTGGAATGTCAAGCCTGGCCACTGAACACTGGCTCCATACTCTTCCTCTACAGCAACCATCTGGCCCCTTCCCACCTCACACAAACATCCATCACTTTTCTTTCCTCGTGTGCCTCCAGAGACCAAAATAGTCAGTTTAAAAAAGCTCAGCTGCTTGTGAGCAAGAAGGACAATAAAGAAGGCAGTGCTAAAATGAGAAATCTGCTCCTAGTTGCAAAGCTGCCCCTTCCATTGTACTGAAGTAGAGGGCAGCATTTACTCCTTTGAGAAAACTAAAGTAGTACATCTCTGCTAACTAACGCAAGCTCTTCCCCAGTGCAGAGCTTCATGTTGGGCTGTAGCTGGCAAGAATCATTAAGCCATTCCCTGCTTCCTCTAGGAAAAAGGCAGTTGTCCAGATGGAACCAAGCAAGGGACTGACTACAAGATCATCCAGTAAATTAATCTATAACACCAAGGATTGCAAACCTTCTTGTAAAGATTTTTTTATAGTAGCACTGATTGCTTCAGGTTTGTATTTCTACATATCTTCCCACACTCAAAACAGACAGATGACAAACTATTAACAGTTAAGGGCACACCAGTGAGGATGAAGTGACTTACATCATGCTCTTCAATTATATTAGAACACTTGCAAGACTTAATTCTGCACATAGAAAATAATACTACATTTGATTATTTAAGACTAAACAAAACACCTTCTTACTAATGTTTCTTTTTTAAATTGGGCTACATACCACATGAATTTGTGCTAATAAACAGCTCAGTACACTTATTCAGATTTACATTATTATTGTTTTAGCAACTGGTAAGCACTTTTTCTTTATTGTTACAGAATTCTGTGTTTATTTAATAACTAGTTGCTATGTTTTTAGTCAGGATGTTATGCCAAGCTGTTTCTGGAAGAAACTGGGACATGTTCATTATCTGTATTTTTGTTTCCTTAGTATTACAAAAGCTACCCAAGGGAAAAATACTAAACCATGCTCTCCATCTGAATACATCTTATTTACTTACCAAAGGAAATACTACTTGTCGGCAGTGAACCGATTGCTCCTAAACACTGTGATCGCATGTTTTCACATTGGTAGATCTCAGTGTCCCATGCATAGATTAGACAAGAAAAAAAGATGCCTTCTGCTTTTTCAATGCACAACTACTACTAAACAATACTAAGGACCCCAGTTATAGTTCCCAAATATTTCTGGTCAGACATATTTTGTTCAGGTTTTAACTTTGGTTTTTACCTTAGTAAATTACCTGAGCCATTGAAGCCACTGTAATTTGTATTTATCTTTTTCACAAATTCTTCCCTATTGGTTCAAAATTGTCACAGCACCTTACTGATGAAACTAAATAAATATTTTTCCTAATACATTATCTTCTAGTAACATGACAGAATAAACTATAACCTCTTCAGATATACTAGAGTTGAGTGTTGCCTGAGCCTATTTACTGAATCACCCTTCCTTATTCAGGCAATTATATCTATCCCTCCCCATTCCACTTCCCAACAGCTGCCCTAAGTAAGCAGTCATCCCCCACTTTCTACTGCAGCCTGAAAACAAACCAGAAGCAGTGAGCCGCAGATCCCTGCTGTTATTCAGCTTCAGAGATAAAGGCTTGCTGTTGTTGCTGCCAACATCAAAGGCTCTTTCATTCTACTGTACCTGCACAGCTCCAATCAAGTCTGTATTCCCTGATGTCAAGCCCAAAAGGTGAGGGATGGCCAGGATGGGAAGAATAAGTATGGACAGGAAAGGAGTCATACCCTTCATTTTTCTAAAATCAATCCAAATCCTTACCTTTCCAGTTTTGGCCGTGACAAGGCAGAAGATATGTTATTTGTACAGCACGTACCTCTCAACACTGAGATGCAGCCAAAGTGCAAGCCTCCCACAGGCTACTCTCAAGCCCAATGATGTGCTCCGTTGATGTATTTTTTTAAGCAACAATTTGAAAACTATTTTTCATTAGGCTCAGGTGAACAGCAGAAAGAGCTAATTAATTCTTCAGATGAAAATGTGAAGCAGGCACATGGCAAACCATGACTAGTTTTAAGGGTAGCAAATCATTCACTGATTCAAAATAAGCAGATGCACTGGTTCAGATAAAAGCTTAGTAGATTATACTAGACAAACAATAATGTCATACTGTACTTTATTTTGGCATTTTGAGGCCAGCTACATGACACCATGCTTTACAGAAGAAGAGTAGATTTCATTCGCTGCTGAACAGCAGCATCTTCCATGGTAGTTTAAAAACTGCTTGTAAGAAATAGCAATTTATTCAGAAAATGTGCAAACCTTTTCTGTAAGAAAATACAGCTAAAACCTATTAGGGAAGTGCCTAAAGGGTATAAGTGAGATCAGAACGTCAAGGTTTCAGAGGCACTCCATATGCACAGTGGTTTTGCTTTAAGCACATCTACAGAATTAAGCCATGCAGCTCTGAAGGCAGAATGCAGTTATTGCAATACCAAGGCAACACAGATACGCATATATAGAAATGGAAATAAGCCACCCTACAGAAAAAAAAACAAACTTTCTCACCTGTCTAACTACAATTACACCAACGGTTTTACAGTGAAATCCTTACTTTTTGGGGAAAAAAAGCCCAAACCAAATCACAAAAATTGATGCCCTCCACCCCTGAATACACCTTAACTAAGAATAATGCCATAGTGGCACGCTCAGTATTAAAAATTTGAGGCAGCTATGCCTGCCTTTCTTCTATTTCTGATGTGGGAAGATTAAAAGAACACAACTTATTTTCTCAAATTAAAAATTAGATGGATCCCTATAACAGGGAATGTAAAGTTCCCTGCTTCTCCATAATAAACACCATATTTATGACCTAGAGCATTAGAGTGGTTGGGGGAGTGGAGGGCAGTAAATTTCAAGCACTTGGAAGTAGTAAACACTGAAAACCCCAACTGTCTAGAAGCTTTTTCTATTCCTATTTCACTGCTCTGTAGAAAATAGCCCCTCAAGAGTATGTATCACACCAACTGTGTAACTACTAGAAATGGACTGAACTAAAATGAACCAAGAAGCTGTATGGGTGGCATCATTCCCCAGAAGCTGCATGTAGCACCTCAAATTATATCACAACCCAAACCCAAGGGACCTCTCTGCCATTTTTCTCTAAGTTTGCTAATAAATTCACATCCATTACAGTCCTACAGTCCTGCATCATACCTGAGAGAGCCTTAACATCAGCTCTGAGTGGGTGCATTACAGCAATGCCAAACATGCATGGCAAGCATTTCAAGGGCTTTCCAGATTAGAAATAGGTACAAAAATGCAATTATGGCTGGTTTGCTGTGCTGGGACAAACCACTTGCACAAATCCATCTGGTAAAAAGGTCTTCTTCGCCTATTACATTTTATTACTGCTCATTAAGGACAATTACTAGCCTCAGGGACACCAGGTTGGGAAGTATGTGTCCAAACCACACCATCCTCATGAACAGATACTTTCAGATTATTAATGTGGGTTGCTGGCATTTATTTATTTATTTTTTGTTTGTTTCCTGTAACATGCATATGCACTTAAAAGTCAGGTCTGCTTCTTTACTCACAAATCACATGCTGACGTATGATGAATGGTAACACATGCTTTCTGAACAACATTATTAGGTAGAAAACACAGCGTCCTTAAAACCTGTTAAACATCCTAGACGCAGGAGTAAAAGTTTTCTATTTTTCAAGATGTGACCTCTAGGTGAAGGTAAATGAGTAAAAACCCATGACCTCTTCCCCCTCAAAGCCAACCCCAAAGCAACTTCACAGAAAGCTAAACTACAGCAGACCTCTGACTGAGCCTGAGCTACAGGGAACCCGCACTATTCAAAGCGCATAAACGCTGCAGACAACCGGGCGGACGAGAAGCCTGTTCCCCGCCGCCGGTCCCCATGAGGGCCGACAAGCAAGGCACAGGGGCCGGGCCCCGCTCCTGAGCCGCTCCCCCGACGAGTCGCCACTGGGATGAGCCGAGCCGGGCCGGGAAGGGCCAGGCTGCTCCGGGCGGCCGGAGAGAGCTGATCCCGCAGCGGGAAGCCCGAGAGGAGCGCCCCGGGCCTGCCGAACCGGGAACAGGGTGGGGGAGGCGGAGTCCCCAACGGCCCCTCCCCTCCCCCAAGCTCCGGGCAGTCCGGGCCGGCCCCTCCCCCACCTGGCAGCCGCGCCTGGGGGCGGCTCCGCACCCCTCGCTATCACCCCTCGTTATCGCCCCTCGCCCGCCCCGACCTCCGCACCCGCGCCGGGCCGTGCCGTGTCCCCGCACCCGCGGGCACTCACCGCCGGGGTCCCGCTTGCCGGCGCAGCGGCTCCGCCTCGGCCTCACTCCCGGGGCCCCGCCTCGCGCCCCATTCCGCCTCCGCCACCCGCGCTCGCAAAGGACGGCCGCGTAGCGGCGCGAGCTCGTCACCGCGCAGGCGCCGCCCGCCCCGCTCCGGGGCTCGCGGCCGCCGGGGGCGGGAGGGGAGCGTGCGCCGACACGCCAGCCCCTCCCAGACTGCGGAGGAGCGCGGCTCTGCGCAGGCGCAATGCTGAGAGGGCGGGGAGCAGAGCCGTCCTGCGCGCAAGGCGTGACGGGTGCCGTAGTTCCCCCCGTGAGGGGTGCCTCGGCGGCCCCTGGACTACAACTCCCAGGGCACGGGGGAAGCCGTCTTCCCTCGCCCCTTGTTTCCTGAAGCCCCAAGGGCCGGGGAAGGGTGGTGAGGCTCCGCTCGCTGGCGGGAGCTGGGGCTGGCTGCGGGCAGCGAGGGGCGGTGTGAGGGGACCCCGGCGCCCCTCCCGCTTCAGTGAGCGGCCTCCCGGCGGGAAACACCGGTACAACAGCTCCGTGAAGGTTTCTGAAGCCTCTGAGGACGGGCGAAGAGCCGATTGCTCTCTTGACCTGACGTACCGGGCACTGTGAGCATTAGCCGTGACTAAAGCGGTGTATGACTAAACCCGTTGTGAGGCAAAATTTGTAACGGTGGGAAGCCAGCAAACGTCAAAACCAGTCAGTACCACCGGAGGGGCTGACACAGCTCTATAGGTGTTTGCCTCACGAATAACGTTGCTTGTGACCTCTCCGTTTGCAGCCATTTGTTTCAGTTTCATCTTGCATAATGAATCTGATCTTGAATCCTTACCCGCTCGTCTCTACCACTCTCTGGAATACAAGAGAGTGGAGAAATACTCTGGATGTGACCTGTGCCAAGAAACACATCTCCATCTCCACATGCATCCTGTTTACAGTGGTGTTAAATTTTGTATTCTCTGCCTTTTACAATGCGAGTTTCTGTTACGTTAAGCACCTGCGTAATTTGAATCCTTTTCAGGATTCCTCATCAACAAGGGAATTTGTTTCAGTAAAAAACAGACCGATTCATTCCCACAGCCTCAAACCTAATCCCTGGGTGATTGGACACATTAATACTGTGGCAGTGTGCCACCTGCTTCATTTATTCACTCGAGATTCAATGCTGCTTAGTCCCTGTCAAATGGGCTCTTTGTGCAACCTCCTGTGGTAATGCAAGAGGTCCCCCACAGGAATTTGTGCTATTCAGTAGGAAATACAAAAGGGAGAGTTGTAAACACTCCGATTAGTGTTGGAGCACAGAGATATTGTCTCCACAACATATTACATAACCATGCAACTTCCAGTTTACTTCCTCCCATCCAGAAGAAATGGTTTAACAGCAAGGGCTTACTGATTTATTTAGCTTAATGTCACCGCTAATGTTGGGGTTTTGTTACCCAAAGGCTGCTGCTTCTGGAAAAAGAAGAGAGCAAGGTTATTTCAGTAACATCCTATAGTAATTTGAGATGATTGCCTGTGAGGATCTCCACTTGAAGTGACAGTTGCCAGAGGCTCTTGACTCTGAAGAGTATTATCACAGGCGGTTGCCAACACAAGTTCACACACAATAGGCCCATCGTCTAATGAGTCCAGAATGAATCTTCTCCATTTTTTGAAGACAAACAAGTTGTTGTGTGTAGTGCTGACAATACCAATTTACTGCCGTGTGAAACACATTTGGATGACTTCTGACCTACAAAACTTACTGTGGTCTGAGGCCTACTTACACAGACCGAGGTGCTTTCTTACACCCTCCATGCCCCCACATTCACTCTGTAAATTCTTACTGCTTGAAGGACAAAGTAAGGAGTCTAAGGTGGCAAGCTCTCTGCTTTGAATTTCAGTCTTGCCAATGTACCTGACCCTCATAAACATACTAAAACAATAATGGAGGGAAACATTAGAAAGCATTTTGACAGGAAAAAAGGGGGGAAAAGGCAGAGCTGTGTTAATGAATGATTCCTTCCCATTCCCTCTCAGTGACACTCCTACTTCAAGAAAGCCAGTTCTGGGGCTGAGTTTTTCTTGGCGAGATGGGAGCCTACATGGGCTGTACTATTCTGGGATAGCTGTAGATACACTATGTAATTCTCATTAGCAATAAAGGAATACACAGCAGTCATAAGGAGGTGTATTTATGAAAGAAACTAGCTGGCCACATACTGAAACACCCACGTGACATAAAAAGAACCTGAATATATAAAGGAAAGGCTAGGAAAAAAGTAAGATTAGGTAATCCCTTTGGCGGGAAAAGTCTGTTATTTATATGATGTCCCACATAGCAGGAGAGCCAAAAGAGCTGTCTTGACACTGAATTCTGCCTGTACAACTCCCATGAGCACTACTGTGGAGTTACGATTCCAAAATCATTGCAGCAAGAAGAAACTTTAAAAATACCTAAGAAATGAAAAGGATGTCAGAAAACTTTGGTCTTGGTAGCCTTACATCTTGGATTTGTCTGAAAAAGGGATTTGCTCTGTTCCTTGCAACATCTTGTATCAAAGTATGTTTTCCTGTGCAAGTGGCGCAAATTTTAATGATGTACTGCCTGGTGAAAGATACCATGCCAAGAGCATGTGGCAAATCTTGGCACAAGTATTTCCTTTGCAAAATCCAACTGACATTATGATTAGCCAAATGTTAGGTTATGTGATCAACACTCCATGAGCAGAAATGAACACAAATGAGCACAGCACCGCAATGGTAGGTGAAGGAATTCCAATATGGTGCCCACAGAAATGAGCTCCTCCCAGGGCTGTCCCATGACAGCCACCACTGTGAGTATGGGATACCTGGGATGCAAGGGAATAGCATTTTGGGGTGGCAGAAGACCTGTTGCAGGGCTTGTAGCAGAAAGACCAAAGGCAGTGAAAGGGATGAACAAATGTGGAGAAAAAGAGGGTAAGAACATAAAAGGGGCTGGTCAGTACACTTGTCTGACAGTGCCCTGCAGATACCTCATCACCATGGTCTGTCCTGTTTCCTCATTAATGCTCCTCCTGGGTGAGGGGGTCTCTGTGCATGTAGATCTAAGTGCCAGCCACTGGAAAGGCATGACAAGTCACAGGGGCCTGCATGTCTTGGATGCCTGTGGCTGGAGAGACCAGAGCATATGTGTTGTGTGTGTCCGTGTGTCAGCATGTGATCGCCAGCAAACATCCAGCCAGACGAGCCAACCAGCAGGAAGAGTGACTTGGGAGCCAGGTACCAAAGCAGCCATTAACTTTGACATGGATACTGGAGAGACCATAGATATGTTATCAGAGATACAAGAAGGTGTTCTTGTATTTCTTTTTTTAGGTACTAGATGTGAAATCTATTAAATGTACTAAAATCAAGCCAGGAGCCCTAAGAAATTACAGGAACACAATGGCACATTATGGCCATTGTACTCACTCTCTGCACGGTGTCAATGCTTCTGAAATTTCGGAACAAGTGCCTGTGGGGAAAAACAAACAAATGAAACCCAAAACAATGAAACAAAAACTTTAGCTACTTTTAGAGAAAGAATAACAAAAGGCCTTCAACCCCTTCTCAGTCAGAACCCAAGCAGACCGGGGATTTGTGTAATTTCTTATTATATGGATTACCTTTTTTGGCTTCCCTTGAAGCTTAGTAATTTACAATTCTATCCCAAAGGACAGTAATAAAACTGGCTGATGTCAGAAAAGTTTTTAAAACATATTCTGAAGTATTCTGAAGCACTTGTGTAGGTGATGCTTTGCTGGTATCCAGACACAGGTGAAATACCCCCCCCCCCCCAAAAAATGAATTATGATTTTTCTTGCAAAATGAGCAAGACTAAATAAAAAACTTTCCAAAATAAAATCTCAAAAAAGAAAACATAAGAATCAGTAATGTCTTTTTATTAAAATACCTCTTAACACACTCATTGTAATAAAATACACTGGATGTTGTTGTATGACATTTGCATACACACAACGCTTACAGCAAACTAGACAGCATCAGGAATTACAAAAAATAAGGCAAAGTGTGCATCCTCACTATCTGCTCTCAGGCTATTACATACAAATAACCGTGTTTACATTTTTATGCTGTTCCCTACACTGTTTCCTGGACCCCTGTTAAGCAAATTCCCCATATCCCTCCCGCTCTCACCCTGCTGTTCCCTTGACTTGACCTCACGGTGAAATTCTAATGATGTAAATGGAGACGGTGTCACAGATCCGTGGGGCAGCAGGTGCCTGACCAGAAACATCAGCCCTTTTTTTCCCCCCAGGAAGATTCTGAACTACTGTGGTGCTTCTAATAATTCACCATGGCAAGAATCCGAAGCATGCTGATGTAGCAGTGCTTACTTTGTGTCTCCTCTTTCGGTCAAGGCCAATGATGCATCACCCTCTAGCTAAAACCAGTCACAGCTACTCTAACGTATTCTTTCTCTCCATTCATTTTAAGAAACTCAAGCGGAAGAAAAGATAACATGAATTGTCAAATATAGAAGGAACAACTCCTTCATGATAAGCTAAGCTTTTCTATTCACATCTATGAGTTTTTATTACTTCATTGCAAATTTGAAGCATAAAGGTATTCCATTATCCACTAGTTCAAAGCATTCATCTTTCAAGTACTTTTTTATAGCTGAAAAAGAGACTGAAGAAAATAATGTTATTTCACAAGAGTAGATTTTTTATCATTATTATTTCACCTTAATGAAAGCCATATCATAAGAAAAATGAAAAGACAACATTCAGGCAGACTTTTCAACAAAATCAATTTAAAATGACTGCTTTCATTTGTACATGGTACAGATAGACAGGTGTGACTATAAAACAGCTTAATCCCTCTAGGCTGAGGTTAGTGAGGGAAACACGAATGGTCAAATTCTTTTTTTCTGTGTGCATATGCATATATGCATTAAAAAAAGAAATCAAGGAGTTCAAACCCATATCATTATAAATACCAAAAGCTGATCATTAATTACTTATACACTCTATGCTTGTACCTCGTACCATTATCAACAGAGCCCTAACGGGCTCATACTAACTGCAATGTAACTGCCAACATATTAAAACACTTACTTAGATGTTCTAAACTCAGAGCATCCTAATTCTGCCTTTGTGGACACATCTTCCCTTCCTCAGTGACAACATTTCATGGGGAAAAAAGCCAGTAATTGTATTTTGGAATACATATTCACAGCAAACTACTAAATGGGAACATGTGTGCTGCCAACAGCTCAACTCAAGCCCTGTACCACTTACTGGTCCTGCAATTTCCTTCTTCCTTATTCATTTAGTCATTAAATCCATAGTAACTTTTCATGTTTCCTTTACTGGACTGAATGTCTGGGGAGTAAGCAGCCCTAGAGAACGGTGCAAAAGGACGAGATGCAACTGCAATTAACAACTGTATTTTGGTATCTAAGAGAAGACTCATGTCTTGGGTTCAGCAGTAGCAGTCATTTTTCTCATTCTTGGTAGCTGGTGCAGTGCAGTGTTTTGACTTTCGGCCTGGGAACAGAGCTAATAAAAATGACGTTTTGGTTTGGCCAAGGACTTTGTGAGTCTCATGCTCTGCCAGGGAGGAGTGAAAGCCGGGAGGAAGCAGAGACAGGACACCTGACCCAAACTGACCAAAGAGGTATTCCATACCACAGCACGTCATGCCCAGGATGTAACTGGGAGTTAGCCGGAAGGGCTGGGAGTCTGCAGGGTTGGAGAAGGTATTGGTCGGTGCTTGGTCGGGCTGGGGGGGGGGTGAGTTATCGGTTGGCTGGTGGTGAGGGGAAGTGAGTGAACGAGTTGTCTGGTTTGGTTTAAACCATGACAACTGAAAAGGTGGTTTTTTGCTTGTTTAATATAGAAATTACACAACATAGGCCCTAATGTACCTACAAGAGCTAGGCAAATGAAACTTGGAAGAAAAGTGCCCCATACATAGTGTTTTGTTGGGCAGCCCTTCTAAGAAGTTTGGATTTTATCCATGACAGCCCACGTGCTGAACTTGAGAAGAAAGCATGAGTTTTTCTTTTTGCCCAAATACCATTTTCACAATGAAAGGCTAAGCTGAAAACCTGGAATGTAATAAGATTAAAAAACAAGCCCAGAAACTAAAAAACCCACCAGCCCCTAAAGAACAACCAACCCCCTCCAACTAGCAGCCATTTCATTATCTGTTGAGCTTAGGTGATAGAAATCTCACTACCATACTCGTAACGTTTCCCTACTCTAAACTACAAGATATAGTACTACATTCTGAAAACCAGTATAGTCGATACTTTCAAATTAAAGGAAAACAATCAGAACAGCAAGGATGAGCATGGCTGTACCATTTGAGCAGAAATAAACTTAAAACGTAGTGTTGAAACTTCTACTAGTTAGCCTTGCTTACATGAATTAAAATTAACAGACAAGGGAAAAAAAAGTTTTCAGATTTTATACATCTTTTTTCAACCAGGTGCATTTAATTGCAACCAGTAGGCACTCCACCAAAACACAGTATTTGCAATCCCCATCTCTTTAACCGAGAGAGATTACTTTGGCCTCAATATTTCTATATTACAATTTTCCTGCTTCAAAACATGCAGTTCATACATTTTACAGTTTTACTGCCATAGTCGATGCATTCTGGCCCAATACACTCACAGCAGGCGTTGTGAAACCATCGGTATTTGGAAGCTCCCATGGACTCGCAAGAGATCTTGCACTGATGTATTGACATGCAGTCATCAAAATACACCACAGTACACATGTGTTCTAAACCAAGAGGGGGGAAAAATTTGGTTTAAAGGGTCTTGAAATATTTTTAAAGGTTAGTTAAAAATTAATAAAATGTGCAGCTTTTGAAGGAGGATTGGAAATCATCATGACTGTAAGGCATACAGAAAAAAAGGCAATAGTGAAAGCAGAGAGGAGAGGCAGAGAGCCAAGGTAAAAATCTATCAACTTCAAGTTTTCAGTGTCTACAACTCAACCTGTTGTCTGCTCTCCTGCTGGACTCATTCATTTCTACAGTCAGAGGCATGAATATTTGGGGGTTTGGCCCTCAGTTATCAAATATACCTTCTCAAGCAGAAGGATGGTCTATGTCAAAACAACAGGAAGGCATGTGTCCTCTGAAGGTAATACCAAGGTATCACTTTCACAGTTACCAGCAGTTGCTATATACCATCATGAAAAACTTCAGGTTTAGAGAAGTTATTTACAAAACATCAAACCCACTTATTTTAGTGTAAATGTTTTCTCCTTCCCACCCCCCAACTCCACAATATTCTTCAGCCACATTAAATCACAGAGAATCCAGTTTTCCTCAACTTGAAACTGCACACTTTTTCCTTCGTTTTTAAGCAAAACCACTAGTTTTAGTACTAACATTAAGAACCCCCTTCTGCCTAAATGCTGACTTTATTCTTCTAACAATCATGCAGTTACTTGAAATGCCATGAAGTTTGGTGTTGCAACTTCAAACTGGAGCTGAGGCATTCACAGCTATAGAACAAAAACATCCCTCCCAAGTCTACGTGCAGATTGTACCAACTTTCTTTTGTGCTGACCAGGTGATTACACCGTACCTTTGTTCATCCTCCAAAGGACTTGAATTATATTGTATTTACTTACAGCATTAACTTGGCACACTTTGGGGAAAAGCACAACTGTGAGCTGTCTGCACATATGAATATCTCACTTGCACACATCAGAGTTGTGAGTGGGAGATGTCAAAGGGCTTTCTAACCTATTGCTGCTTCTGAAGTATGGATCCAGGAGAAACATCCTGACCTACATTCCAACGTGGATTAGAAAAATGTAATCCAATCATAAATGGTAAACCAAGACAGGGTGGGTTGTTTTTTTTTTATGATTACAGAGATACAGAGAATGGTGAGTAACCAAAGGACTCTCAGAGCAGTGCAGCTGTTAAGCATACTGTTTATTCAGTCTCTTCTCTGTAAGCAAGTCTTGGGACGCTGATGTGCACCAGAACGTCCCCTTTAAAATTTGGGTGCCCCGTACATTAACAGCCTCAGTAGTAGTATGCACATCTCATGGCAAGCTCTTAAGGTGAGGTCCAAAGGTGAGTCGAGGATAGCAAGGGTCTCCATCACTTTACAAGTCATCAGATCTATGCAGTCAGCTTCCTCAGTACCAACAGATGATCTGTGTGGTGCCCATGCTTTCAAGCATGTGACAAGAGACAACACAACATGCAGGAAAGCATGATACATCCAACAGCTTTTCTTTTTCCTCTTTGACATCTGGAAACCCTTTTAAGACCTATCGTTTGTTAAAACGTTTTTGAGGGACCCTGACTACTGTCAAACTGTTTTGCCACTACCTCAACAGCTGCAAGAGGGTCACAGGACATGCTACCAGCCTGCTGAAAGCAAGACAGTATTCACTACCTTGTTTAGGTCTGAACTGATGGACACATCTTGCAGATGGACAGTGCAACAGGCAGTAAAGATTTTGGGGAGGAAGTGCAGACCCACAGCTGAAGCAGAAAAGCTGTACTGCAGGTAACGCTGCAGTTGTCCAAGAAATTTTGGAGTACCTGAAGCATTGCTGAGAATAACAAAGTATGTTGTGGCTGTGTGAGTCCTGTCCCATTCTTCGCACTTCTGTTTCTATGATTCTTTATAATAGAGCCTGTGGCACAACAACCAGAGGAAGAGAGTTCTCAAAGAACAAACCTCTGCCTAAAAACAACCAGTATATCTACAGCAGTATTTTGTTCACAGAGGGGAGAAGGAAAGAGCAAAATGGACGTGTATGCTTACATACCAGCCGTATATATACCTAAAGTGCTTGGCCAAAGCTGAAAAGTAGTAGGGAGATACAGCCATGACAGCCTTGAAGGCAAGAATCCACATAGAGACCATACAGAAGCTCTATCTTCTTATGGAGGACACACTTGGCAACATTCAGTCATCAGCTACAAACAGCTCAGATTGCCAGTGTCCCAAGAGGAGCAGACACCACCCGTTCTCAGGAGTCCCAGACATTCCCACAGGAGGTTTTCAGTGGAAGGGTAGGGTCAGAGGAAGTAGAGGTGAGTCTCCTGGCAGCATTCCTCATGAAATAAGCACCAGCAAGTGTCCTGTCGGTCATACAGTTCAGTGCTAGTGTGCAAGTACAGGATGTTACAGAAGCCTCTAAGACACATTCATACTCTTTGTACCCTCCTGCTTGATACCACTGCACTTCTTTGATAGTTTTTTACTAGTTTTCTTGTCAAGTTTGACCTTAAAAGCCATAGGTAGGGTCGGTCTTAGAAGGTGACAGCTGGAGGCACAGAACTTCTATCTCCAAACAGGCAATCCAGGATAATCCAGAAAGATTAGATTTCTTTCTGCAAAATCAGCTTTTGAGATGCCATCTCCACGTGACTGACCTAGTCTCTGGACCATCTTGCAAAGGCAAAATGACTCCTGGCTCACTCTAGACAGTAGTAGAACTCTTTGAAGAAACCAGAGCCCTCTCCAGGGGGTTGTTAGAAGCGTTCACTGCTATCATGTTGATCACTGCACTCTGACTTGTAACACACAAGAAGAAAGGCTAGGTCAGGAAAGCTTGTCAGGAAAGTTGTGTACACTCTGAGGTGGGCTAGCTGTTCCCAGCACTTGCAGGCTGTCTTCACGCCAGAGAATGACCAGTGCCCTCTGTGTTAGAAGACATCTGTGCTCTCTTTCATGTTAACCTCATCTGTGACAGCCTCTTGCATGTTAGTACCAGTTCAGTAGTCCTGGAGAAGCCTAGTTCATCAGCTAATGCCTGCTGGAATATGAAATAAACCTTGTGAAAGAAGAGCCTGTGATTTCTAGGATGTAAACATCAGTGACACTGAACTGAGAGACTGAAGACCTCTCTCGGGGGAAAGGAGGCCGGAGGATGAGCAGCAGCAGGTCCATAACCCTGGCAAAACCAGATGACAGCAGTCAGGTCCTGTGAGGCTGGTCTCCTTGACCACTCTCCCAAGACCAAAATGGAACCAAAGCCAGACATTAATCTTATTAAGGTGGCAGCAGCATTAATTTTGACCTAACTGTAGGAGGAAGTTTATTTCCACCTGCACACAAACCAAGAGGGTTAGGTCCTAAAGGACCAGTCCAAAATGCTGCGAAGGGGAGAGAACAGACTGTATACAGCAAGCAAGAACCAGCAGCAGATCTGGCTGGTTCCCAGCAGCTCTTGTAAGCAGCTGAAGGACATGTGCCGCGTCTTTGCTACCAAACTCTTTCTGAAGTCTCACTCGCTCAGACACTTGCCAGGTCTGACTGAGTCAGACTGGCCAGGGTGCTCTTTGTTTGTCACAGGACACTCCAGGTCACATCCTCAGCAGTGCCTGTGTAGAGGCTGAATTACTGAAAGCAGGAGAGTTCCTCACCTCAAACATTAAATCCCTCTTTATAGGCTGCAGAAACAGTTACACAGGGGAGAAATATACATACCTACAGGCTCAGCTGGGATTGTGGAGAGTATTTAACTTGTTTCACAAACCTAATTACACAGTCATCGCTCAGCTCCCTCAGCGTAGATAAAAAGGATGTTACTTGGTACAGTAACATCTCTTTCGTTTGCGTTTTGCCAATTTTCACGCAGTAAGGACTACAGACTACAGGTGTGGGGAGGGATAAGGATGAAGCAGCATTCTCTTTTCTTCCAGAAGGTGAACTTCTCACCTATTTCCACACACATCCCCCCCCACACCCCCAATTCATACTCAACAAAGGCTGCATAGGAGAAAAAAATCAATCAAGTCTAATTTCAAAATGGCCAGAAGAAATAGACTTGCATTTCTGCCAGATTTTGCTATGATACTGTCTGTGCTGCAAGTGAGATCCATATCAGTGCACTATGGAGGAATTTAGCAACTCAGAGAAGACAAAACAACTCTGTTCTTGCAAGTTAAGGAAAATGCTTATCTACAAGATGAGAAAACTTCCTGAGTTAGTGGCAGTTCCCTGCATGCAATCTTTGAAGCTAAAGGTGCTATGTGAGTTCAGCTGTCTGGTGGTCTATTTATTGGTAGCTCTGAGAGTACTTTAAAGAGGCAACTGTCCATCCAGCAGCCAAACCATTTTATGCCAATCAGAACTCATAAAAATAATTAATTGTTTTAAATAAAAGTCTTCCTAGAGTACCTACAGAGGCAGAAGCCACTTCAGTGGATTGCTAGCTCTCTTCTACCTGGCTGGCACTGGAGGGGAGCAGAAGTGCAGAGCAGACACCATCCCCTATGTCACCAAGCTGTGTAAGTCAGAAACCCTTAACTACAACACAGATTTTGTTTCATCAGTTGCCAAAAGATTATCTAGTTCCCCTCTCTCTCTCGCCAGCATCCTGTCATCATCTGAAACAATTAAGCTTATTTAAACATCTGAACTCACAGTTCAGAGCTCTGAGGGTACCAGCTGAAAGTAAAGCAAAAAGAGTAAAGTATGACTGTAGCTCTAGATTAACAGTCATTGCAATCCTCTCTTAAGTGTCAGAAACTACTGATACAAAGAACTACAGCAGCTCCAGCAGCACACGCATACTTTGGCAACTAAAATGTTAAAAAGTCAATTCACAGGAGGAAAGGGAAGACACTCATTAAGATAATAACGGGGAAGTTCAAGGTCTGGCGGGGAAGTTCAAGGTCTGGCGGCTGGGCTCACAGCAGGCTGGGGCGAGAAAGGAATGCTTTATATCCCACCACACTCCACCTCCTCCCGGATCTACAGCCACCCTCCCGGGGCCAGTGGCTTCATGCCACTCAGGCACAGAGCCTGTGGGCTCCTGGGGCTGGTGCTGCTTTTCCTGGCACTCATCCAGAACTGCATCGAGCGAGCCTCGCATCCTGGACCAGCTTAATGACAACCCCTCAAAAGTAAAACCAGAACTGTGTTACACAACATAACAAGGGGTATTTGTAGGCAGAGCCTTTCTGAAACTGGGGATATATTCCAGAAGTTAGCAGAGGAACTACTGTCCCCTTACCAAAATCTACCTCTCATTAGCCTCTTCCTCATTACTGGTTATGCAGTAGGCTGCTGCCAGCACACCATGTTGGAGTGAAGCACACAAGGAGCCACGAAGAACCACAAAATGGTGTAGGCACAGCCCTGCTAAAGAAATCATAGAGCATCTGTGTCCCTGCTTACAGGAATACTCCTTCGAATCCCTGAATATTACAGCCTTGAAGACAACTGCTGAGCAATTCACTTTAAGGACATCTCCATTTGCAAGATCTGCCCTTAAGCCTAACAGCGTGGCTGGGGAGAAGGAAAGGGTAAAGAGATGGTCTTCAGTTTCTTCCACTGCAGGGTATGCTTGCATGTACTGCAACTGAGCCTGCACACATACACATGCACAAACCCAGCCTCTGTTCAAGTGGTTCTTCCAACATATGCTAGCTTGTTAAACCACTGATTTGATTGTGTGACTGAATTTTCAATAGGCAGAAGCCATCAGAATCCAGCAACTTCCTGGGCTGCCTCCCTGTGCCCATGCTCACAAGGCTCTTTAGTCCTTGACCTACTACCCCTCCAACTTTTGGTTACTGCTTCATCAACGATCTCATCAAGTAAGTGTTAAGAAAAATGCCACCCCACGGTTCACACAACATCCAACACAAGCGGTACAACTCCCCAGATGTCCTTGCTTCCACCATACTACGCATCAACTGACCAAGGCCGGCACCCAAATTTTCTTTCCACCTTCTCTGTTCTCAATGCTTGAATCATCCACATTTTTATAAGCAAACTTTAATGACTTCTGAAAAAGCAGAGCACTAGAAAGTTACCTACACTGTGCCAAGAAAAGAGACTCCCCAACAGGCTTACATATTTAGATACTTAAAGTATAAGATGTTGAAAGCCATCTTCTACCTTTTCTAGTTCTTCACTGATCACTAAAATGGAGTAGGCACAGCCAATGATTACGAGAACAGCTCTGATATTTGTTTCTGTTCTTAGTGTCTACTGAAACCTGAAAACCAGTGGCATTTGGTAACTATTTCCAAACATAACTGCTGCTTTTGGACTGTCATCATTCCAGTAAAACCTTTTTCAACTTAATCTCTAATACAGTCTTAGTAAGTGAAATGAAGGAGACTTTTGACTAAGAAAAAATTGCAGTGTTATGTATTTGCCTGTTGTTAAATTCAAAACTCCTCCACACCCTTGAGATGAAATTCAAATTCCAAGTTTAATCCAAAACTATCATTAGCCCATCCTGTTGGTATGGTAGTAAAGGACTGACAGAGAACAGCCATCTGGACTGCAGTAGTTAAGTACAGCGGAATATTTTGAAGATTGTTCTAAGCATAATTTTTTTTTTCCCCAAGTATAATTTACCTCTTTAAATACTGTAGTGTTTGCACACAGGGCTTTTTGTGGCTTGCCATTTAACATGGCTTTTTGCATCATTCTCATAAAGGCAAGCAAAGGTTTTAATAACGTCAAAAACATATGAATGAGATGCTTTCTGAGCATCTGGTTTCCCAGTTCTGGAGTTAATTTATTTTTCTAATGTGTCTTAACCAAAGGAAATAAGAGATGTTGCCATTATGGTCCTATTTAATCAACAGCAGTCCTACTCAGAAACGTAACTAGGTCAAAGGTTCACAATGGCATGGCAAAGCAGTGTGTCCATCAATTAGGGTATCTTTCATTGGTAAGATAAAAGAGCCATCACAATAGAAACATATGAGGTAATGAATATTTAAAGTGTGTGTTGGGAAGGAAGCAAAGCATTAATTACACTAATAAAGCAAATCAGATTCTCTTTTTCCCCTGTTAAGCAGCAATTTCACTATGAACTGTTTATGAGATTCTTTTAAGTCTGATGTAATGATATGCAGGGAAAAGTACTTCAGGTTCAGTATGGAAACCAAGAAGCAGAGAGGATTTTTCTTTCTTATGCCACTGCTGTCACTACTTCAAATTTCTCATCCTCTCCCTCACTCCCCAACAATAGTCTGAAGTCTGTCCTCTAAAGTAAAGATAAGAATACAAAAACCTTGATATAAAAGTAAGAGCAATGAGTCCCCAAATTGCTTATTTTTAAGAGTGTCTGTCACATATCCCTCCTCAACCTAAAGAGAGATCTTGCTAATCTTACTCAGCTCTACTACAAACCATCCTCCTAAAGAGTTCAAGTTATGCCAACTCAGATGGAAGAAACAAACACCTACTCCAGATACAACGGTTTATGGCACATGGCTTTCTCAAACCCCTGAAGCCATGCATTTCAGTTGCCTGCCTCTGCACTGATACATGGTTTGGTTTCATGGTTTTTTGTCTGTCCTGTCTCCTAAGATACATGTAACTGCTTATGTGCTGGTGCATGCAAAATAACACGAACAATCTGCCTCATGCCACAGGACGAACTGTAGATGTAACAAACTCATGTGGTTCAGCATCTTCTAAGATCATCAGACACTTTAACACCATCTTCCATGTTCCTCAATACTTTTGCCTCACTCCTTTTGTTACTTCATGCTCAAAATTAGACTGAACTTTTCACTTTCTCATGGGAAAAGAAGAAGCAAGCACAGACAAGCATAGGGTATGCACCAAGAAGGCTCCTGGAAGAGATGAGAGGAAGGACACTACACTCATACCTTTGTCACTAGAGTAAGGTGCGTGGACATTGTTGCTTGCAACAGAGACGTTCTGATGCTGTGGCTGGTTCACTGTTTCTAAAAAGGAAACGAGGTTCTCGTGGTGTGACAGCTCTTCTGCCACGGGGAAGGAAACAATATTCCAGTTCAGCTGAGTATCCCCTTCCGTCAGTGCTCGGAAAAGGGAAGGAATTGGTTCATGCAACTCCTCAACAGTGCTCTTGGATGTTGGAGGTGTGTCACTGTAATTGCGAGGATTGCACATACCTGCAGAGGAATGAAACAATAAGTTACACGAAACTCCCTGAACTCCTCCTTGAAACAGGCAGGAATACGTAGAACATTTAGAACAGAGCCCTTTCATACATATTGCACTCTCAGCTCAATAGCAGAACTGCCACCAAATACAGCAGGAGGAGATTTCTGCAATGGCAGGTTTCACATCTCTGCAGACTTCCACAAAACACACCTGTAACTTGTGAGATCCAAGTGAAAAGAAAAACCTCATCCAAACAGCACTTCACTTCCCTTTTTATGCTAGAATGACAGTTTAGAATATGAAGATCTCAATGGAAGGTTTGTTTTCCCTGGGGAAAGAAACAAAGCACAGTATAATCGATACTAGCATGAATCTGGAATGAAAGCTTGCGACTGGATGAAGATAGTATCTTGACAAGTCCTGAGCTACATGAAACTTTTGATCACAATTCAAGTATTTGATCTCACCTGCTGCAGCAGTGCACTAGATCTTTTTAGTCATCTGCCAGAGACACAAAGATCACTGTCATAGAATCATAGAATAGTTAGGGTTGGAAAAGACCTTAAGATCATCTAGTTCCACCCCCCCTCCCATGGGCAGGGACACCTTACACTAAATCATATCACTCAAGGCCTCGTCCAACCTGGTCTTGAACACTGCCAGGGATGGAGCATTCACAGCCTCCCTGGGCAACCCATTCCAGTGCCTCACCACCCTAACAGGAAAGAATTTCCTCCTTATATCCAATCTAAACTTCCCCTGTTTAAGTTTTAACCCGTTACCCCTTGTCCTATCACTACAGTCTCTAATGAAGAATCCATCCCCATCACCCTTATAGCCCCCCCCTTCAGATACTGGAAGGCTGCTATGAGGTCTCCACGCAGCCTTTTCTTCTCCAGGCTGAACAGCCCCAACTTTCTCAGCCTGTTTTCATACAGGAGGTGCTCCGGTCCGCTGAACATCCTTGTGGCCCTTCTCTGGACTTGTTCCAACAGTTCCATGTCCTTTTTATGTTGAGGACACCAGAACTGCACACAATACTCCAGGTGAGGTCTCACAAGAGCAGAGTATAGGGGCAGGATCACCTCCTTCGACCTGCTGGTCACGCTCCTTTTGATGCAGCCCAGGATACGGTTGGCTTTCTGGGCTGCAAGGACTGAGCAAGGAGGGAGCATTACTTTACCTGCTTAGAGATAGCCCAGATGAACCTCGTTTTGCTACTTAGTTGGAGGGGTCACCACAGGCAAAATGCTTGTTTCCAGCTTACCTCTTCGTTACTTTTCAACATCTTTTGTGGTATCTTTTTTGAAACTTTGTAATCTTTTCTCTGTCTGCCACTTCCTACAAAGTATTTTTGTGATGTGCAATGCAGGTGCTAGTTTTTCATTAACCATTTAAACAGTAACATAACTAACATTTGTTACTAGCAATGAAACTGAAGGGTATCTTGATTTAATCTAACACTGAAACAATCAAGGTTAGAAAGAAAAGTTGTATCTGCATAGGTAGTTAAACTCAGAAGCCATAAAGTACCATTAGAAGTCACCTGGCAAGAGACACACAAATCCATTTTCCTCATGTACATCTGGATAACATTTTGGATAGTTTCGCAGACACAGTTTTAGATGGCTACAGCTGCAAAGCACACCAATCCTTAAAGTATCAAAGAAATATAGGACATAAACGTTCAAAGACTACCTGTTCCATACAACCCATGCATCTCCTACCCTGCAGATACATTAGGAGTCCAGCTTCAGAAACCGTGTTTAACTGGAACCTTATACAAACCCCCAGTCTTTTCAATCTAAGGAGGTGCATTTCCATAATGAACAAAGCAGAGGGAAGTTTATCCGTGATGATGAGTATGAAATCTGGCAAATCCTAAGCAAGTGGTTAGCATTACCAGTGTTTAATAACAAGAACACCACAAGACTGTCTGCTCCTATAAAAAGGTCTTCAAAGATGTTCCTGGACTCACTGCTCTAACTAAAGATTTCTATCCCTGCATTAATGCTTCTTAGTAAGCACATGGAATATTCATCACACAACTGGAATAAAGCATGCCCACCTGAAAATGAACTGGGAAGATACCAAACCAGGTAAGGGTTTTGTACAGATACATCAAGAGACATACTTTAGCTGATGTCTCTGTATGAACATTGTGAAATGGAATCCAATGAGCCTTTCTAGGGGCCCCCTCTGTTAGGTGGGATTCAGAAAATAGATTTCACTGGTAAGAAGAATACACATGAAAAATAACACCCAGATTGTTTATTAGAGTATTGCAGAATGTGTATGAGTTTGTGTGTGTACCAATGCACTATGAAAACATTACCTTAAGATGGTAACAAGAAACCATAGCTCATAGTTTAATGGATAACTGCTCGTTCCACAAAGATCCTTCCCTCTTACTATATGGATAACTGCTCGTTTCACAAAGATCCTTCCCTCTTACTATTTTAACAAGTATTTTAATTATAATTATATTTATATATAATTATTATAAAATTAAAATAAAAAACTTATATGAGCAGCAACTGGTCAAGAACAAACATGTCTACATTACCTCTTTGAAATGGATGAGAAGATGCAGAAATGGGCTATTGAAATGATGGAAGCAGACAAGCCTTTACAGGAGGGACTAGAAGAGCTTAATTCACAAAGCTTAGAAAAATAAAGATCAGAGGAACCTGTTGCTGTTCTCCCTCCTCCAGTCTCATTTTCCCCGTCAGATAAGGGAGATAACATCCACACAAAACACAGGGCATTAAAGTCAGTGCTGCATGATAGGAGGTAATTCCTGACTTCAGAGCAGACATGACGTGAAAGACACGACAACCCATCTGCTTTTACATTAGACATGATCAGCTTTTAAAGAGACTTAAATATCAGCTCAAGTATCATCCAAGAACTGTCTCCAGGGAGCTGGGTATGGCACGCACTCTTTCTTCATTTGAATAAGGGTACAGGAAGGAAGACCCTATGCTAAAGAGAAGAACAGGACTATACCATAGAACCAACAAGGTCTGAGGCACCTGCAAAGCCATCAGGAGATGGTTTAGTATACTTGGTACTGGAAACTGAACCTGAAGCCTCATCATCTTCTGTCCTGGATAACACCATGGGAAGAGCAGCACAACAAGGAGTAAGTAATCTGCAGATTTAGGAAAAAAAAAAAAACAAACAGCCACTTGTGTGTGGAGTTTGCTTGCTTTCTTTACAATCCCTAGAGGCAGGTCTTTCCTCTCCCTAGAGGATACTGGCATACTATGCCTTGATTTCTACAGCAAACAACTGTTCTGAACTGGGAAAATAGTCTACTGTCCTATTCCTTACTCTTATGACTGAATATGCCAACACAAGATGATGCTGGAAGGGCAAAGGGGATGGGAGCCCAAGATCTAATATAAAATACAAACTCTAGGGCCTCTTTCTAAATGTATATTCTCCAGAGGTGCAGGGGCTGAAAACACTTTATGCCTTTGGGGAGAATCTCACATGCACAGGACCATGCCAGTCCACTGCTTACTGAAGAAGAGTAAAGCAAAGGTAAGCTAGCCAGAGCCAAAGAGAAAGCAGGATGTCAGAAAGCATATTCACATCATGATGGAACAAGAGAGACAATGGGCTGAAAAGGAGCATTTTGACATTAAACAGCTTCATGAATTCAGACAAGACTCAGTCAGCCAGAGAAGCTGAGAGCAGGTACAACACTCAAGATGCATCCCTTTCATGGAAGCCAGAAAGATTTTGAATGGCTGCAGAGAGAGATTTCCAGCAACCACAGGAGGACAAAGCCTTCCAATATGTTTAAAACAAGAGATGGAACTAGAATACATCCTCCACAAGCAGGGGCACCATTCATTTTCAAAGATCTGGGCACTCTAAACACTACCTGTTAGTAATAACACTGTTCTTGTTATCCTACAGCTAATCCCACAGTAGGAACTTGTATGCCTCCTTCTCATCCTCCACAAAGAGCTTTTTTTGCAAAAACAAGAAAGATGAAAACTTTGGCCATGGCTATTTCCTATTAGTCCCAAGAATCCACAAGGGAACTGTAACCTAAAATTGTCCCTGTGTGGTATCTGTCAGTACACTTTGCAGTTAGAAACCTCCATATGCCATCCAACCCCATGAACCACGTGCTGCGTAATTTCCTCAAGATGACGATTCAAAAAGGAGTTTATGTTTTAGAGACAAAATTAATAGTCAGTTATGACGACATTAACCAAGAAAAACCTGGCCTATGGCCACTCCACAAGGCAGATACAGCCTTCCAGTGTTTGGCTCCTCACAGTAACTTATTCAGTGCCCACAGAATGAGCTGCAAGACGTTTAAAGCACAGATTCTGTCCCAGTGTTTTACTTCTATTATAAGACTGTGAGCTCAGCACGTAGCAGGAGAAAGCAATTTAAAATAGAAGAAAATCCCAAAGAAACACAAACTTACCAACACAGTCACAGCACTCATCCCACAGGGTGCCCAGGCAGAGCATGCACTCCTTGCAGCAGGAACAATTCCCTTCCCCAGGGCGACACTGACATAGCTCCTGAAAACAGAAACTCATTACAGAGCAGCAATCCCAGATGTAAAATGTGAACACAGCAGAGCAATTCTTTCTCAAGCCACAACTCAAATTACAGCATTAAAAAAGCTTAGTGCTCTAATACAGTGAGTAAATGGTACAATAGCTCCAGCCAAAGAACTTACTTCAGTTTACAAAAAAGAACTTTTGCAACTTTGGGTTTGTTACATTTTTTAAAGGTGACATTCTGAAGACAAATCTGAAGTCAGCATTTAGAAGAGGAAAAAAAACCTATTAGAAGCAGAGAATGGTTTGGGTTGGAAGGGACCTTAAATATCACCTAGTTCCAAACGCCCTACCACAGGCAGGGACACCTTCCACTAGACCAGGTTCAAAGTCCCAACCAGCCTGTCCTTAAACACTGCCAGGGATGGGGCAGCTACAACTTCTCTGAGCAGCCTGTGCCAGTGCCTCACCACCCTCACGGCAAAGAACTTCTTCGTGATATCTAACCTAAATCTCCCATTTAAGTTTATTCATGGGAAAGGTGTGTGCACTTCTATGTATGCCTGAATCTGCAAGTTCTTTGAACGTTTTCACAACAGGCAGTTCAAAGAAGGATGTTTCTTCATATATAAATAGTGTGTGTATATTATAATTTAGCTAAAAATGTTACTGTAAGCCACATGCACATGCTCCAGAAGATACATGATGTCCACCATCACACCTATTCATGGGTTCTCAAAGGAACTTACTCAGTTAAGTCACCTGACTGCAGGATTTTGTCCAGTATTAGTGACCAGATTATTTTCCCCAACCATGTCCAGCTGATTCCTTTTTGCTGTTACCAAAGACTTCTGCAGCCTCCAGAAAGTGCAATGGCACACACTTATTTTTCTTTAACCATTATTAAGCCAAAAAGATAGAACAAGCAAGAAGACAAACCTTTCTCTTCGCATCACCTAAACCTGAAGGCACTGGTTTAGCAAACCTGCTGGAGACTTGTGGACCTCAAAGCCTGGAAACAGCCTACATGGATGAAGAAAATTCAAAAACCAGGCAGTCTCCTTCCCTCTATCTCAAATCCATACTCGTAATTCCACTCTGGCCAAAAGACTGTGGCTACGTGGCAATAACACAGGCTTGAATTACACCACCGTGCAAAAAGTGGACAGCCAAGAAGTCACATTTGGTTGTCCTAGGAATTTGGTTGTGATGACGTCTGCCTTACTATCACGTTACACACAACTGGTGAGAAAAGAACATCCCATTACTGGAAACACTGACCACGGGATCCTTCCCACCCTTGGCTGTACTGGAAGAGTCATCGGCAAATCTCTGCTGTGCACTGGGCCAGGGAGAAGGTGACTCCCATCCTTGCTCTTTGATCTCGTTCTCCAGAGGCAGGGCAGTGACATGCTGTGGTGTGGTCCAGAGACCCACATGGACAGGAGGGAAGGGCAGGAAGAGGGTTTGGTGTGAAATTCTCCCAACCTGGAGTCACCACCAGAGGCTCCACCTCAGGTAACCACAGCTGGGTCAGGGACAACACTCCTTGCAGGCAGACACAAACATCACCCACAAAGTCTCGCTGTAGCACGTTGGGAAGAAGCCAAGGGGGCAAAATTCCACTTTTTAAGTGGAAATTTGTTAAGAAGCATCAGGAAGGGGAGAAAGAGACATTTTGATACCAAACATTAGGAGCGCATTTGCTAGGCAAGGCACAGAGATGCACCTGATCATGTACAACCCCTGTTCTCTATTTGGCAACACCAGCAAATGCAGATGTCCACTGGCTGTAGGTGCACAGGGACTGCCTCTCACTCACACCAGCTCACATGAACCAACAGGAGACCAATGAGTGCATTTTGGAGGGAGAGGCCAGACCAAGGTCTGGCTAGGGGATGGGGCTTAAGAATACAGCATATGAAGCTGCAACACTGCCCATTCTGAACTAAAACTGAACAAACCCTAAAACGTGCTGCAGGCATGCTACAATGTCTTAATGTAGTATAAATGCATCGACTTCTTATTTGCCTTCCACTCACTTCATCCCAGATCATAAATCTTCTTGAAGCCCACAAAGAAACAAAATTCACAGACTATTCTATGTGCTACGTAACGTGCCTGCACACTTTAATGTGAGCTGTTTGCCCCCCTGACTGACCGAGCATGAACTGCTGCTCCACATGCATTTCTGCAACATGCAACCTTCGTGAGTCTTGGATTTTTATTTACAGAGGGGAAAGCTTCCAAGATTTTTTTACTTCTGCATCCTCAGAATTTATTAATGCCATCTATTACTGTGCTACTTCCAAGTGAAAGATGAAAAGCAGGCTTGTTAGTAAGAGATACAAATTTTTCCACAAGAGGAAACACCACAAACTTAGAAAGATGACTTATGTGAGTGAATGATGTACTTGCTAAATATTTATCTTACTGTTTGATAAACAGATAGATTGTGTCAGCCTTGAGAACAAAGAGCCTCAATAAAATAGCTTTAAAACCAACCATGAGTAAAATACTGTTACCTTGGCCAGAGAATACCGTTAACACATATTAGCATTAAAAATATCCTACATATTTGTTCATCAACAGGAAAACTGAGCAAACAACTTTACACTTATTAAAGACATTGCAACACCAACAAACCAGCTCGTGGGGGGAGGTGATTCTCCATAACCTGTTAAATGTAATGTGCGGATCAAAGCCAGAAAATTCACTAAATTTAAGTTGTTTCAGTTTTCTATGAGTATTCTCACAGAATTAAACGCAACCTTGAGTTCCGTGTTTGCAACATAGTGAAAAAATGTCTGCTTAGCATCTCTGTGTGTAAGCATTATCTTGGGATGGCAGCATTACACCTACCAGTTATTTTAACAAATTCATTTCATAGGTAGGGCTTATGAGCAGTGCAATTTTTTAAGCCTTTCTTTTATTATTATTATTAGTAGTAGTAATTTGGAGGGTGAGGAGGGAGGAAAGAGCAATGTAATTCGTTTGTCTTCTGCACATTTCTTCAGCTCCCCCCTTCTCAGAGTCTGACAGGCTCTTCAGGGCAATAACTGTCTGTTCTTCCATATGTTTGCTTGCATGTACATGGTTTCCTTAACCACTTTTGAGTCCTTCTGCCTGACTCATCTCCACTGGATACTTGTACGGATACATCTTTTTAAAAGAACGCTAACATGAGACGTGGGTGAAGCGAGGCAGAATGAGAAACGTTCCTTGTTGATGGCTTGGGGGTGGCAAGGCGTCAGTGGAAGAAAATATTACTCATAAGTCAGCTTGGCAACTTCCCAAGCTGAACTACTGAAGGTGCATCGGAGAATGTATTTTGCTAGGCAAGAAATAAGCTTCCCAGTCTAAAAATACTGCATTGAATAGGAAGCGGGCATGTTTGTACAATGAAGACACTTCTGCTCCAGAGAGCAAATCAAGATTCTTACAAGGTATTTAACATCTGCCTGTTTTTCAAAGCTTTCTCTAAATGACAGAGACTGCTTTCTCAGTGCAGTGAGAAACAGGACCTGGAGGCATTGGCAACATCTCTGCAAACTGGAAGGGGGAGTGAAAGAAAAAGAGCTAATGGTTTTTTTCCTACAACAGTTTAATAACAGAAAGTTTCCTGGAAGCAAACCAGCCAGAACTGTTTTGTTAACCCAGCTGTGTTACCTACTACAGCAACAACATACACACAAAAAGTAGCCTTTGGATGCCTGAGCCCTGAAGTTAAGGAGTGGTGTTCATCTCATACCACAGGGTTTAAAAGTCTGGGAAACCCTTTCAAGCTGACAAGTTTGTACACAAGTTTAACAGGAGGTGAAGAAAAAGATGAAGAGGGGTTTTAATCAGAGCGATACCACACCAGCTGAGGTGACTGCGGGCAGGTAGTGTTTGGGAGAGAAAACTCTGTTCTCCACAAAACAACCCCTCTTCAGAAGGATCTGACATCCATGTCTGAACTGCAGCACTGTTAGTTTCCTGCAGACAGCAGTAGTTTAAAGAGCTGTCGCACATGAGACAGCAAAGCTCGGCTTCCAGCACAACATGGACATACTACTCCAGCCTGACAACCGCAGGTAGCTCTGCACTGCAAGAGCTAGCCTGGGGCTTGCCTCAAACCCATCTGCTATGAACAATTGTGGGAATGTCCCATCCTAGAGATTTCTGTCCTCAAGGATTTCCTCCATGTCGCATAGACACACTCCACCCAGCGAGCGTAGCTGGTCTTCTCATCTCCTCCACACATGGGAACATCACAACCACCCAGGCGTTCGAGTCAGCAACAGATGTGCTGGAATAAATACTGCAATACACACATCATGTGCAACCCAGCCTTGGTGGCCTACCTGAAGAGCAAGGTAACAGTCAGGTATTGACTTCAATGCTCCAGTCCCAACGACATAGGAAGGAACTATGTTCAAAGCCTTCAAGGGAACTAATATTGAGGTCCCACTCTCTACACTCCCAAGTCTTAATCTACAACTCCTTCAACAACTACAGGAAGCCACAAAGGTTTTTTTTGAGAAAGCTGAGCTTACACAGAGAGATGCCTCAAGCTATTTTCTTATAGGACTTTGCTTACAGAAAACCAAGAATTAGGCTATGAGTGCACCAAGGAAACTAAGGCCTCAAGATGTAGACGGAAAGCTGAACGCATGCAAGTTGTTGATCTCATGCTCTGTTTTGGATCTAACGAAATAAATATTTATGTAGGGACCACCCTTCAGCAGAGCAGCTCCAAGGAGTGGCAGCAATGACTGCACTGACTTCTAGCCATGCCGGCAAAAATATTTATGTTAACCGTATGCTTCTTCAGAGAGCAGGTCCTCTGTCTCATTATGTCTCTGAGACAGGCAGCCTTGCTTTCTGCATGCAGATACAGATGACAAACATCCATGCTCTGTTTGTTCCCCAGTTGCCTCTGAGTGACATTATCTTGGTCTCATTGCCAAACTAGAACACTAATAAAAACAGGTGAGGGAAAAATGTCATGCAATAGTCAAGAAAACTCACTCAATGCTATTGTAAGTTCAGATTTCTCCAGAAGAGTTTAAAGGGGAAAAAAAACAAACATGGATATACTCATCTGCTCTAAGTCAAAGCTTTAGAAGCCTTCATAGTGACAATCAGTCTGCCTGTTCTTCTGTAAGGAATGAATGCTGACAGGTATGTCACTCCTATTTGCAGGAAGAAAGCAGCCAGACAGGGAAACTGAACAGTGGCCTTCTGTAATCATAATCATACACAATTCACATGGTGCGGGTTACTTTAGGGTCTCAGAGAATTGCATACAGTTTTGATTTGAAGGAAATGCTTTAGAAAGGGATTCCACATCACCTATGCAAAGAGAGAGCATGTCTACTACAACACGTAAAGCAGTAAAGGGGTGTCTGCATGCACAGGGCTGTGTAACTGCAGAGATGCCAACATTATCCAAGCAAAGCAGAGTTATGTGAGCCACCTCCAGGCAGTGCTGAACCTCAGCTGATCCCAGCAGCAGGGACTCCAGCAGCATTAGCTCCGCTTCTCCACCAAGTACTCTCTTCAGACTAGCTCATAAAAATGAAGTTTAAATGCTGACTGTCTCAAGCTTGGCTTGATAAAAGCTAAGTGATTACTTGGGAAGGAGACATCTGTGGGCTCCATCAGCATCACAGAAAAAGGAGGCAATAGGTCTCTCCTGTTTTCCCCTTCATCTGGACCAACAGCTTTCCCCCGAATCAACAGATCTGTACCACTGCGCTTGCTATTCAAACAGCTCATACATCCAGTGCACAACTGGCACCATACTTTTTAAAGGTTTCAGACCTAAAAGGTGATATGAAAAAATGCAACAGAAGGAACTTCTGAGAGCATCAATTTGTGGCAGCGCACAATGCCAACCGCACCAACAACAATAGTGGCATTGTCTCTGGAAAAGTAAAAGCCTCTTTCTTGCTCCCTTATTTAACAACTCCACAGGCAATGGTGGGGCTAAGGAGAAGCAGCAATTCCCATTTCTGGGGGCTTTTCTTTCTAAGCTATAGCAGTGCAGGCGCCAGACAGAAGACAGTTCAGCCTGCAGCCAGTCTTCATCTCACAGGATGGATTTGTGAATCCAACGAGTATTTTTATTTGTAAACCAGACAAATTTTATACAGAAGCCAATGAAATGAAGCAAGCACGGAAATGCTTCATGCCACTTCAGCACCACTTTTCAGACTGTGACCATACATTTACAGTAAGCAAGTGTACTAGCACGTTAACCACCGCATGACGCTTGTGCTCTCTGCTACTGCCTTTCCAACTTACAAAGAAGCAGTTTCATTTAAAAGAAACTGCAACTGACACTATCGAGGTTCCTTTTTCCAATACAGAGTCAAGAAGCATGCTCAATACACCACTGATAAATAAACACTTGGTAGTTACCAGACCCGCTTGCAATTTTGCTAGAAAAGACACTTTCGTCCTGCTGCCCACCATACCTTAGAAACACAGAATCTTAGAATCAGCTAGGGGGGAAAAGACCTTTAAGATCATCAAGTCAAAAAAAAAAAAAATAATGGAACGTTTCATGAACTTGTATGTCATCCTTGTGCAGGGACCTTGCTGATCTCTGAATCATTCCAATTTCAGTATATGTGCTGCCACAGCAAGAACAACTCCTGCTTAACTCCTGCTGTATGAGCAACCTGGTCTCAGTCTGTTTTTTTCACTGAAGACAGACACACAGCAAGTCAAAAGCAGCATCTGGATTTGAGTTAAACATCTGTGTGGTTTGGGGTTTTTGGTTTGTTTGGTTCTTATGCTTCTTAGTGGACTCATGCTTTCAGAGCTTGCTCACTCATTGCCATTAGTAGCTGTCAGTCCCTCCTGATCAAAAAGCTTTCCTGAATGCACCTCAGGACAAGTTTTGCCCCTACTTGTGTTTGTTCTCACATGTGAACTTTTAGAATCACAGATCATTCAGTTCCAACCCCCCTACCATGGGCAGGGACACCTCACACTAGACCAGGTAGCTCAAAGCCCCATCTAACCCGGCATCTTCTAATTGACTGTACAAACCTGATGTTGTGGAAGGCATCAGACATCAAGTACTGACCCTTTGCCTGGGCCAGGAGAGTAAAGAAAGCAGACAGATTGCAAGTTGAGAGAGTAGATAAGAACACCTCAGAAAGATATGGGAGCACTGTAAGCACATATGAACTTGTGATATTGCAGTTAACTTTAAAAAGTACAATTGCCCACAGAAACCTTTGTAATAGAATGTCTGTTTCAAATTGCTGCTTGTTCCTAACATCACTAATAAAGAAGAGACTGAAAACTAAGCGTGTGAATGGAAGTGGCTTCTAACAATAACCCAGCAATCATAATCCTCAACTAGAAAATGTTTCTGTTAAGAAAAGAAACATGTCCATTGGTGCACGCACTTAACATTATCTATGAATAATCTGGTAATCTGCATTTATACATGCAGGAGACCAAATTAGCTTCTTTAAAACACATTATTTAACATAGAATACCAGTTATTTGTATCACTGGATCTTTTCAAGAGGCAACTTCAGAACCTTGTCTTGAAACACATAAAAGCAAATAAAGGAAATAGGACTCATACCTGTATCAGGCATTTACTGACATCGCTAGCACAGAGAGCCTTATTGCAGCCTGTTGAGGACTGGGTCCACAGCAGGAAGAGAACGATGGTGACGGTGGGCGCAGTGATGTACTGCAACCTCATGTTTGCTGCAGGTGAGTGATTTTCACAAGTACTTCAACCAGCACTGAAATAAGAAACAGCAACTGAAAAGGCTATTGGGACACAAGTGAAATCCTGCCATTGCCTTCCCCTGCAACTCCTTCAACAAAGATTAATAGAGATTAATACTGGGTCAAATTGGGGTGCTTAACGTCAAACCCAACCCCTCCTCCTGCAACTAATTTGTTTATTTGAAGCTTTCTGCTACTGCACCTATGCATTAATGCTACAATAAACTTAAGGTGAACAATCTCAACTTTGCAGTGTCAAATATTACAACCTATAAGCAGTGGCGACAAAAAAACGCCTCAGAAGAGGCAAGCCACCAGTGAAGACCTAATCCTGTCAATGCATAAAGCAGAAGGGTAGGTTTCCTGTAGTATGCCCTCAGGCTAAAGGTAGGCACAGGTGTGCAGGACCAAAGCTATACAGCAACCTTTTACCACGTGTAAGGTTAAGCTGCCGTGTCATCTTTAACCAGCAGTTAGATGTCACACTGCTGCTCAGCTCAGTCACAACGCTGTCGGATTCCTTCTTTGTTAGGTACAGACACCAATACTTCAAAACCATAAAGTTCCGGGGTCTCTGAATGACTTTCAAGAGCCAAACAAGTGACTGAAGTCAGCTGAAGACGAGCATCTGCTACTTCAAACAGGCAGAGGAGCTGGGCTGGTTCAAAGCATTCCACCTTTCCCCCTTTGTGCAAACCCAGCTTGTCGGCAGGTGGTATTTGTTACGAGCCCGGCGATGATTAGTGGTGTGCCACCGAGCTTCTACTCCTGCTCAGCATGTGCCCCCCCGGCAGAAGAGGACCGTGTTGCACTAGGCACTGTACCAATGTATAATAAAAGGCAGCCCATGTTTGGGCAAGCTTACAGTGAGCCTGTATTGTTCTCCTAAGGGGGAAAAATGCTAATGGGGCCCTGGATTTCTTTCTTTTGGTATCTAGAAATGTTCTTCTGCTTTATGAAGTGAAAAAAAAAAGCCACCACTCTGAATGAACAATTGGCAAATATGAAAGGGAGAAAATAAGCCAACATGTAAATAAGGCACGATCCGGACATTTAAGCCTGTGTCAGATTAGTCTCACAATGGTTATTAAACACTCCCGACCTCGCCGTGCTGGGCGCACGGCCATCTGTACCCATGTAGGACCGGGGAACCCCCCCCATACGAGACCCGCTTGGAGAACACGGGATCCTTCCCCTCAGCTGGGGCACCGCGTCCTCTCCCTGGCACCCAGAGCAAAGGAAGCTTCCCTTCGGCTACGGACGGTTCAAACCCGCGGGTGCGGGTGCCGCTCTCCGGAGGGGCAGCCACCGAACGCGGGGCAGGCTGGATGCTCGGCCGGGTGCGCGATCCAGGCGCGTTTCAACACCGCACCGCCTCGGCCAGGGGCTGCCTTACATAAAGGGATCCCGAGAAGCGGAGCCCGAGCGGTGCCATCCCCACCGGCTCCCCGGGGTGACCGGGCCAGGCGCGCACCCCTTCCCCGCGCTGCCCCCTCCTTTCCCGCGACTTTTATCCGGCGCCCCCCTCCTCCCGAGGCAGGACCCTGCCCGGGGCCGGCCCCGCTCCCCCTCTCTGCCGGGCTCACCCCGCTGCTGAAGGACCTCCAGAACTGCCCCGGTCACACGCGCTCTGCTCCCGCTCCCCACCGCCCCCGGGAGGCCCGGGCCGCAGAGACGGCCCCGCCAAGAGCCCGGGAGGCCGGTGACAGGGCGCGCACCCCCTGCCGAAGCGGCGCGGGGCTGGCGGGGCCCCGCAGGGGGAACACCGCCGAACCCCCCATCCCCCGGCAGTGGGGGCCCGGCCGCCGCCGCCACCTCCTCCTCCTCCTCCTCCTCCTCCTCCGGCCGGCAGCGGCCGGCTGCGCAGGGCCGCCCCGAAACTTTCCTTCCACAAAGGAGCACCCGCGGCCCCGCCGCCTCCTGCTCATCCCCGGCCACCGGCACCCTCCCGCCGCCCCCCCCCCGTTCCCCTGGCTGCTGGCTCACCGCACCGCGCCGCGGGCCGGCACCACCCGCTCCGCAGGCGGCTCTCGCTGCTCCGGCAGCGGCGGCAGCACCCGCACGCCTCGGCCGCTGCTCCCCCCTCGGCCGCAGGCAGCGCGGAGGCGGTGGCGCGGCCTCGCCTCGCCCCGCCTCGGGGCACCGTCAGGCGCCAGGACCCTCCTCCCGCCGCCGGCTGCGCGCCGGGGGACCCTCCGGCCCGGCGGGCGGCGGCTGCGCGGAGCGGGGAAGGGGGCAGGCGCGGGATGGAGCCGCGGAGCCCGGGCGCTGGAGGAGCGGGTGAGCATCCGCCTCCGACCCGAGCGCGAGCAGGAGAGGGCGCGGAGGTCGTGTGGGGAGAAGAGCAAGAGCCGGGCCGGGGGCGCTGGGTGTCACCGGGTGGCTGCTGCGAGAGGCAGCCCCGCACCCAGAGCTGCAGATGAGCCCTGAGAGAGAAGGGGACGCGGGAGGCCGGCGCTGGCAGCGGCAGCGCCCGGGGCACTCGAGGCTGGCGGTAAGTCCGCAGCAGCTGTGCCTGAGGAGGAGGGTCCCGGGGCTTTGGGGCAGCCCCGCTCAGGATCTCAAACAGCTGCGGCATCCTCCTACCGGCCAGGCTGCGGGGACCAAGGTAACGAGTCTGGTCCCCAGGAGGAAAACGCGGGAAGAACCTGGCAGGGACTTGGAAACTCCGGGTAGCCGTCAGGCCTCCTGGGAGACGCTCTCCTTGAAGGAAGCACGGCCATCCTGCCCCAACAAGTTGTTACTCTATTTCATCTCATCCCTTCTTCTGACCCCCCACCTCGCACCGCTTTGTTGAAGGAAATCCACAGCTGGGTGTCCTTAAACAACACACCAGGTATTGTCCCCCAAAGTAGACCTTGGAAAACAAGTAAATTACACGACTGGAACAAATCCTGCATTCATACCGGATATGCCAAGAGATCACTGTCTAAGGGACTGAAACATTTTGTCAGTCCAGTTTTCTGAGCAACTTTTACTAAGCAGTTGCAACTGTAAAACACAAAATCTGTTCCACAGACCCCAGTAGTGGGAAATCGCCTCTCCTTGTAAAGAAGACACAGTCTTCCCTTAAGCAACACCTGTCTTTGGATCTCCTTGTAAAATGGGTACTGCAAAGCCACTTTTATCACAAACCTGTTTCTGTTCATGCTTCCAGAGGATGAACTTTCCCTTTTACAGGAAACACCCTGACCCCCTGCACTCCTGCCAGGTCCCAAAGGCCTGTGGGGCTGTTCCTGCTGCCATCCTGCTACCCTATTTGTGTCACAGCGGGAGCCCCAGTGGACTCGGACCTGCTGAGGTACCATTGTAAACCACGCCAAGTCCCAGTTGTCTCCTCCGTCCCAAGCATTTTTGTCACCTGCACAGCCAATGCTCCTGCAACCCAGTTTGTCCTTCCCGTTCTTTACGCAATACTTTGAATTATTTGTAACCCATACTTCCTAACGCCTGGATCGGGATCTCCCATTTGCAGATATATAACTTTTTAGTATCCGATGGAAATAACCTAACACGTATTTACTAGTTATTAACACTTGTAGCTTTTCCCATTTCCTCCCTTGTCTTTTAAAACAGGTAACTCAGACATCTGTATTATTTTAAAAGTTTACAGCTACTGTCAGAAGAATATTTTATTTTCAGAAGAATAATATTTACATTTTCCTGAGCACATCTTCAATTCTGAGTGATGTCAGGAAGACACTCCTATATAAAAGCAGGAACAACTTCTTCCACAGGTACCTAACAAATTAAAACTGGAAAAAAAAAGTTACAGGGCAGGAACCACATATTAATTGGGTTTACGGTGCTTGAGTTACTATTACTTTACTCTCGACTGGAACTAGCAGTGATGTGCACAAGAAAGGATCCTGCTATCCAGACAGTCCCTTCTTGTTCAATGCCTGTTTGCTCACCATCACAAGAAAGGTAAACTGGGCATTCATGCCAGCCTAAGGAGTATGTACTCTGTAGTAGTTCAAATAGTAATTAAACATCAGCTCCCACAAAGCACTTTACATTTCTTTTCCAGGTAACTGGGTCTGTTGCCTAAGCCCCATTTCTTTCAGAAGTAATTTCATGGACATCAGATCCCAAGCATTCCTGAATAATTTATGGGCTAGAGGGTAACAAATCTTTTTCATGAATATCTGTAGCCTCCTACTAATAAATAATTAACTCTCTGCTCATTAACAGGACTAAGGAAAAAAAACGGGCATTACATTTCACAACATGGGATTTCTTTTTCAGCTTTTCACTCAGCCTCTTTACGTACTTCAGGAATGTCAAGATGCGATATTGTATCAGTGTTACAATATTAAGAAACTCCAACTAATAACATGACCAATAAAATTTATTAAACATTGTATTTACAACTATTTACATATCCTTCCATAGATTAATATTAAAATAGACAATATACAATTTAAGAATTTTCATTCAAAGGCATTTTGTTGGAAAAAATAGGCTCTATTACGAGACCACCATATAAGAGCAAAACTTTTTTGTTTGCTTTACACAAAAATATTTTCAGTTTAGTAAGTCATAGTATGGCATCACAACAACAGACTAATATGAAATATGACTCTGTAGATATTACAGTTGTTAAGGTATTGGTTACTGAAGTAAAGGGGTTAGGAGTTCTGTGAAGCATGCAGTACAGTTCAGTTTCAGTTATTTTACAGTTATGGTGATGGAACAAGCAGCTAAATCAAATACATGCCATACAAAAGAAAAGAACTGCCAACCAGAAATACGCTACACTTAATAAAAAGTACAACTTTGGTCCAATAAAACATTAGACAAAAAACAGTTTTACAATTAAAAGTTCTATTTTATACAGGTTTGAACATTAATTACAAGACTATTTACATTTGCACAATATGTATAAAATAAATTATTTGAAAAGGAAGACAATCTTACATCTTTTTCTTTTTTTTTTTTCCCCAAAAAGAAAGCTGTACAGCAATTTACAAAATATAAGATAATAGACTATTTTCCTCCAAGTCTTATGTTTTCTTCCACAGGCTTGTTCATTGTTTTTCTGTGGGAGTCCAACTCTTAACTGCAGTTTCATAACACAAAGCTGTACAGCAGATTGTAAGTATCATTTGTTTTTTGGTGGCTGTTTCAGTTGTTAACAGCTTCCAGCGCTGTTAACTCACCATGTTTCGTCATCTTTTTCAGCAATAAGCTGTAAAGCTACAGGCAATTTTAAAATACAGATAATGCAGTTACTGGGAAACCGACTTGTTTGAACAAGAGGCTGTGCCACACATCTCTGAAGGAACACCCAAGTTATTGAGAAAGGTAGTATTCCACAGAATTAAGTGCTCTGTCTGAAAAAAAAATCCCCAAAGATTTGTGTATCACTGCACCTCAATCCCTAGTTGTCCCAGGGAAAGGGTGACCAGAAGATGCTGGCTGTCATATTGGTGCCAACTCAAAGTCATCGTTAACTTCAACAAGAGGAACATAAAACTCCTGAATGTCATAAATGCTGACAGATTTGTACGTAGCAGGATCGAGTTCCTGTAGTTTAAGCTGCCACTCCAGTCTCTGTACCGCGTTTAAAGCCGCTGCTTCGTGCTGCTGCCTCATCAAAAGGCACGTCTGTTTTAAAATTGAGAAAGAAGTTATTATATGAAAAAAATACTGCAACAAGTTTGAAATTAGAAGAAAAATCTAAAAGCCTCTCTGGTGGCAGTGAGTAATTTTCCCCACTAAGTATTCAGAAATTTGTAGATTATTCCATTACACCATGCAGCAAGAAAAATTTGTTTTTTATACAGCTACACCCTCCTTTGTGTTGCCCTTAAAACCTCTACAATAGCCTATGATATTGCATGCAAATCTACTATTTATTCATCTTGTCTTCACAGTCACTTTAGAGTTGTTGGGGGCTTTTTGTTGTGTTTGTTTTTTATTTTTGAAGTGGAAAG